TCCTGGATACTTAGATTCTTAAGTTTTACATTTAAAAAAACCCAATATTTTTCGGTGACACAATTTTGTTTTATGGTCAAATGTTATCTTGGCTTGCAAATATTCAGAACTTGGTTGACAACGTGACCAACGAACACACTAACTCCGTGACACGATCAATGGGACACCACGTGTTGATTCTAACCCAAACCGTGGGCTTGTAGTAGACGCCATATTTCACTTCCACAGTCCTTTCCTGAATACATGAGGAGGCAGAAGTACATTTAACATATATGTGTTTATAACACGCGTCATGATTTGCGTGGCGTAGAGGTTAAAACGTTCGCTCGTCACGCTGAATACCTTGGTTCGATTCCCCACATGCATACAATGTGTGAATGGGAGCCGTTTTCTAAACATCGATGTGTACTTGTAGCTTTAGGCCGTGGGAACGACATTCTAAATAACATCATGCATCCGTACCTTCAGGCAATGAAAGCTACTTTCGAAATATCATTGTGTATTCAAAGCTTTATGACCGTTGGAGCCACTTTTCAAATATCATTGTGTATTCACAGCACCAGGCCACGAAAGCTACTTTCTGAATATCATTGTGCACTCAAAACGTTAGGCCATGAACGCTATTTTCTTAATATCGTTGCGTTTTCAAAGATTTAGGCAATGAAAGCAACTTTCTGAATAATATTGTGTATTCAAAGCTTTAGACAGTGGGAACCACATTCTAAATACCGTTGTGTATTCAAACCTTTATGGCCGTGGGGCCCACATTTTAGATATTATTGTGTATTCACAGCTCCAGGGCATGAAAGCTACTTTCTAAATAACATTGTGCATTCATACCTTCAGGCAATGAAAGCTACTATCTAAACATTGTGTGTTCAAAGCTTTAGGCCGTGGGAACCACTGTTTAAATATCATTGTATATTAGTATTCGTGTATTTGTATCTTGCTTAGTTTGTTTTGCAGTGTCATCTTGGGTACGCTGCGCCTCATGATCAATGCAGTGAATCAAATAACTATATTCTACCATACTCTCTCAAAAACCAAAACTAAACTACATCATGTAAAGACACGAAAAGCTTCTCGGTTAATGGATTGTGAACAACTTGCCTTTGACTTGGACTGTTACATGATATATGTTGGGTTGCGTTAAACACAATCTCAACCAACCCATCAAAACATTTAAGAGATAATTATGTCTGCTTGTTAGGGCTCCTTGCCACAAGGCAGGAGACCTATTGGAATCGTTAATGTTTTTATTATTTATTATTCCGCCGTATTTTGTACCAGCCCTACAAAAAGCACCGCTAGACAGAATCGCTTGAAAAAAATTACCCTGGTGCCGACAGTGCTGAAGTCGTTTCTGCAAAAATCTCAAGACTCTAGGCCCAATAGCAAAGGGGAGATAATTCAAAATTAATTCAAAATTTTCAATTTCCAAAGCAATAATCTCCGAAACTACAAGTCCGATGACTACCAAATGTCTGCAGCAGGTCTGGAATCCGATTACCTTCAATTTCAACTGCAGGATCCAAGGGGCTACGAGCCACCGTTTGGCCGCCATATTGGATTTAAGGAAATTTCACGTTTTTGACGGGTAGGCATTTCTGCAATCCATAACTCTGAATGTATGATGTCAAGAACTTTGCACATTTGCACATATAGAGTATATACCTCAAATATGAACATCCTCGAACATCGTTTTAACTGTAGGCCGAAGGACAACGGAGCTACTGCCTGTCAAAGAGGGAACTCTTTCTTCTCCGGAACTTCTTAAAAGGTACATGACCCCGCGACCTTGGCTGTATTTGGAAGATCCGTGTTCTGGCTGTGTTTTGGACGGTTGAAAGCCCTCAAATATGTTTCAAACACCCCTAACTCTGAAACCAACCGTCCGATTTCGACCAAAATCTGGATATGTATTTATGCCACCAGTGCAAGTTGTTTGTACCAGTTGCAGCAACATAGCCTCAAAGACAACGGAGGGACAAATAATATTCTATTTTCCTCACCACAGTTGCTAATCTTGATTGGTTTTCTACTGAGGGCTATGCAAATTGTCAGTGTATATGTTTATGATTTGCTGATCATTTTTTATTCTAACATGCATGTTAAAGGTATAGCCGTTTCGTGGTTAGAAGCAGCCCTGAAAATCCTAAAGATCCACTCACTCGCCGACTTTGTGATGACTGGAATGTGTCATAAGTTTCTCGGAGATTTACGACACGGCAGATTGACCGTGGAAAACATGCGACAGTCTGAAGGAAAGCGCAAGGACGATATGTCCTATAAAGAGACGACCACTGCAAAGCGTGGTGTACGTGCAGATATGGGAGACGATGTCAATTTCAATTTACAATGACGAGAGCTGTCCAGCGTGAGCGGGTTAAAACACAAGCTGGACGATACTGAAGTAACAAATAATTTGTCTAAGTGTATCTTCAAAGACAACAGAGGGACAAGTGAAATTCTATTTTCCTCACTGTAGTTGCTATCTTCATTGGTCCTCTAGAGAGCACAATGAAAATTTGCAGTATGTATCTCAAAAGTTTGCTGATCATTTTCTGTTCTATGGTGCATGTTGAAAGTATTACCATTTGTGGGTTAGATACATATATGTAGTTGTGAGTGTTAGAGGTAGTTGAGCTACGCTAGCTGAAGGAAGCACCCATACAATCTTTCAACACTGCCCGCTCGCATGCTTTACAATGCCCACAGACTAATGCGCTTTCGGTAACATTTGGGTTCTGTGCAGTTTGCATGGATCTTACAACTCTATAGGTAACCTGTATCCAGGTGTAACGTGTATTCGTGTTACGTGTATATAAACCCGCTCTCGATTCACAAATTCAGTTACAACTGCCTGAGTGTAACAGTGTAATGAATACTGATACAAACTACAGAAGTACGTTAATTGCTGTGAAATCACAAGTTCGCTTGCATCAGCGTGAGAATGAGTGAATGAGTGAATTTAGTTTTACGCTGCACTCAGTAACGTTCCAGCTATATGGCGGCAGTCTGTAAATAATCGAGTCTGGACCAGACAATCCAGTGATTATCAGCATGAACATTGATCTGCGCAATTGGGAACCTATTACATGTGTCAACCAAGCTCAACGTGAGAGAAACAGTGTTGTGGATATTGGTACATGCTACACAAATACAGAGTACGGGCGCTTTGTGTCACATTTCAACTTGGCTGTTGTTGATATTTAAATGGAAATTGTATCTACACTCACCCGAAAATAAACACCATAAACAACCACATTTTCAGTAAAAAGAAATAAATTATTAGCAATTGAACGTGCATTATTCTTTTTCCTTCGAATCTCTAATCAAGCCAACAGCTGTTTCCAAAGCCATAAGTGCAATTACCCATACCATACAACACAATCCTTTGTTTCTAACCCTAAAAACAGAAGAATTCAAAGTTTACTACTTAAGTATTTCTCATTACTGACAGTGATATGATCCATATCAGCTATAGCCTTTACTGCTTTCGACATCTGCATGACAGGTACCAAATGGCTAGAAATTATCCAAGCCAAGGAGCCCTCAATGTTGCTCGCAACTTTAATTTGTTTTTTCTTTTGTTGTTGTTTAAAGCCACACTCAGGAATATATCGGCGGTCTGTAAATAATCGAGTCTGGACCAAACAATCTAATGATGAACAGCATAAGCATCGATCTATGCAATTAGGATACGATGACATGTGGACAGTATTTACAAAAAGGGTCAGCCTGCGGTTGCAACGGAGTTAGGTAACTGTCAGATTAATCTTTTCAGAAGTACTTGTCCATTGAGCTTATTACAAAGTCTGAATATACACCAAAGAAAATTATTTCAAATGAACATTAAGATGGCATGTTTATTATGACACACATTAAAGTAACAAAAATATGATAAAACACGTAACAGTTACTTGACAATGAGTACTAATGCATATTATGATCAAAACGCTAGTATTGGGGAATCAACTGGCTATAGGCAGAGGTACAACTATAGTCTGATTGCAGTGAAAACGTACCGATGAATTTCACTTTAAACAAAAAAGTGAATCAAATAAAGTGAAATTAAGACTGCGAATCCTCATAATTTTGCCTTGCCAACTGAACATTTAAATCTCAGAATTTTATTCATTGTAGGACAAAAGTTGTTTGCAAACTATCATACATTCAAATCGCTGTTATTGGTTTGTATTACAAGGGGGCAAGAGCAGTAGTTGGAACAGTGCAACAAATGCACGTGCGGTTCGTGATAAGCGTTTACTTAGACCAACTCTACATGTACCGGTGTTTCATTTAATGTGCATACACCCTTGTAATACAAACCAATAATAGCGATTTGAAACCATGATCGTTTGTTAAACAACTTTTATCCTAAGTTGAATAAAATTCTGAGATTTAAATGTTCAGTTGGCAAGGTAAAATTCGTAATCTTAATTTCATCTTATTCGATTTACTTTGTTGTTTAAATTGACATTCATCGGTACGTTTTCAATGCAAACAGACTATAGCAACCCACACAACAGCACAAGACCTGTGTAAACATACGTGAGATTATTAGTCAGCCACAGAGTGGTTTGTGACTGGATGTAGTCCGCATTTTATACCTATTCTATCCGTCACAGATAATCACATTTACTGATGAAAGTATATCGATCTATCTAATCTACCTGTGAAAAAGCGTACTGACATGGATGGTTACTTGAAGATATGTCCTGGTATCATCTTCTAGTGTCATATGTCTTGGTGTCATTTACTAGTGTCATATGTCCAGGTGTCATTTTCAAGTGTCATATGTCCAGGTGTCATTTTCAAGTGTCATATGTCCTGGTGTCATTTTCTAGTGTCATATGTCCAGGTGTCATTTTCTAGTGTCATATGTCCTGGTGTCATTTTCTAGTGTCATATGTCCAGGTGTCATTTTCTAGTGTCATATGTCCTGGTGTCATATTCTAGTGTCATATGTCCTGGTATCATCTTCTAGTGTCACATGTCCTGGTGTCATTTTCTAGTGTCATATGTCCTGGTGTCATTTACTAGTGTCATATGTCCTGGTATCATCTTCTAGTGCCATATGTCCTGGTATCATTTTCTAGTGTCATATGTCCTGTTGTCATTTTCTAGTGTCATATGTCCAGGTATCATCTTCTAGTTTCATATGTCCTGGTGTAATTTTCTAGTGTCATATGTCCAGGTATCATCTTCTAGAGTCATATGTCCTTTTATCATTTTCTAGTGTCATATGTCCAGGTATCATCTTCTAGTTTCATATGTCCTGGTGTCATTTTCAAGTGTCATATGTCCAGGTATCATCTTCTAGTGTCATATGTCCTGTTGTCATTTTCAAGTGTCATGTGTCCTGGTATCAGATTCTAGTTTTATATATCCTGTTGTCATTTTCTAATGTCATATGTCCTGGTGACATTTTCTAGTGTCATATGTCCTGGTGTCATTTTCTACTTTCATATGTCCTGGTGTCATTTTCTACTCTCATATGTCCTGGTGTCATTTTCTAGTGCCATGTGTCAAGGATTTTATTTTCTAGTGCCATATGTCCTGGTGTCATTTTCTAGTGTCACGTGTCCTAGTGTTATTTGGTAGTGTCTTATGACCTGGTGTCATTTTCTAGTGTCGTGTGTCCTGGTGTCATTTTCTTTTGTCATATGTCCTGGTGTTATTTTCTAGTGCCATATATCCTGGTGTCATTTTCTAGTGTCATGTGTCAAGGATTTTATTTTCTAGTGCCATGTGTCCTGGTGACATTTTCTAGTGTCGTGTGTCCTGGTGTCATTTTCTATTGTCATATGTCCTGGTATCATTTTTTAGTGTCATATGTCCTGGTATCATCTTCGGCGTCATTTGTCCTGGTATCATCTTCTAGTGTCATATGTCCTCGTATCATTTTCTAATGTCATATATCCTGGGGTCTTCTTCTAGTGTCATATGTCCTGTTGTCATTTTCTAGTGCCATATGTCCTGGTATCATCTTCTAGTTTCATATGTCCTGGTGTCACTTTCTAGTGTCATATGTCCTGGTATCAGATTCTAGTTTCATATATCTTGTCATTTTCTAGTGTCATATGTCCTGGTGACTTTTTGTAGTGTTATATCTCCTGGTATCATTTTCTAGTGTCATATGTCCTGGTGTCATTTTCTTTTGTCATACGTCCAGGTGTCATATGTCCTGGTGTCATTATCTAGTACGAGCATTACAAATCCAAACACACCTTGCATAGAAGAAGACAGTTAGCAATAGGTACCAAACATTTTAGCTAAATAATCTGATATAAAGGAAAACCATTAAGATGAGTACAAATGTTGTTATACGAACATTAAAACCACCTTTAAAGGAATATACTTCATGTGATAAAATGACCAGTGTAACGACATGGATAGTTACAGCCCCCAAACCGTATGTGATAATGTCTATGTACAGTGGTATTGTCATTTACACCCTAGAAATGACCGGTTGTGTCAGTGTAAAACAAGAACATTTGAAAGAGGAGTGTAGACTTGCAACCATGTGGAAACAAAGAGATGTGTATTTATTTACAGGATTCATTGCTATATCTATATCAAACAGTATTATTAAAAAAGTGTGAACGGACTATTTTGGGCACTTTGTAATGTCCTCTGAGATAACTGCTCTGTTCGTAGACGGATAATCTACTTCCGATTGACCATGCTATTGTCAACAAAACACCCCAGATGCATAGACATTCTGTCCAGGTATGTCAAATATGCTGAGTTACTAGTGTGTCAAGGCGCTGTTTTGCAGTTGCCTGTCGTTTGCATATCGAGCAATAAGTTAAAATTTTACCTCACCTCGGCAATATTGCAGCCATATCGTGACGAGAACAGTTTATATCAATATTCAAATCAATAAATGTATTACGTAAAAACCTGCCATTGAAGGACAGAAAAAATACTAGATTATCACAGTTCTTAATTCAAAACTAGTACGCTATCGTAAAAATATATCACGAGAAATTAAAGTACAATATAAGAAAGGGCTATAGATCACCAGCAACCAAAGGTTGATCACCATACTAAGGACCATGGGGAATTACAGTACCTTTGTTACCTACATGGACCCTATTTGGATTTGCATCATCCCTTCAGCAGCCGGCGATTGTAGTCAAATTTAGCCATAATAGAAATCACAAAAATTCTACGCTTAAAATACTGGTAAGTTTGAAATTTACTTTGAGAGTTTTGGAACTTACGTACCCTTTCAGGAGAACAGTAATTTTACAATACCTTAACCCCCTTGAGGCTACAGCCACTAACAATCTAAGCTACTAATCTAAACTGCCAATCATTAAATTACATATATCGACAAATTGTAACAATCAAACTTTATCAATCAGTTCAATTCCTTTTAATAACTCAATAAGTAAATGATAATTAACTTTGTTAAAAAGATCTTTCACCGTTTTGACACTGAAATATTTATCCCTTGTGATGGATAACAACACAGTCAAGCAGGACATGCTATGTAGTATATGACATTATTAAGATTCAGAGGATCATTAATAAACAAAGTATTATGTCCCAGATCAACACAACATTCATTGTTACCGCTTCTTACAACCTTGAAATGGTTGTTGAAATGAATAGCTTCCCTTGGACCAAATGGACAGTCGTCAAAAATGTCCCTTTGTCAACCCATAGAATCATGCGGTAAACATCATAGGTTGTCTTGCAGTCTCTCAAAGGCTGAACGGAGCACTGTAGTGTCAGGTTACATATTGAGAAAGAACATGGCAGACTCATTCAGACCAACCAACAACGTTTTTCTTCAAACGTTAAAATGAGACAAAAAACTGAAAGTACATGAAGAAACAATTGAGACACTCGTCCCCATTAGGTACCTTTCATGTCACAACTTCAAAACTTTCTTTTGCTTGTCAGATTTGTTTTGAATTGTAATCAATCCAACAAAAACAACTATCACGACTTCTTTGTACAGCTCTTGGCGCTTCTTGAACCTTTGTTCATTAATGGCAGAGACAGTTTAGGACGATTCTAGTAGTCTCAAGATGCCACTGTGCTTCTTCTCCCTCGCAATATCTATTGCTGTTTCATTGTTCATGTTCCTGAGATTCGGATCAGCGCCCGATTTCAACAGAAGTCGCACCATGTCTGTGTAACCCATGTCAACAGCCACATGTAGTGCAGAACCACCATCATACCTTCTCAAATTGATATCCTTCCCGGGAGTGCTTTTGCACCATTGCTCCACATGACTTGCAATTTTAGATTTCTCCTCAGGTGATATCCCTTCAAACAGTTTCAGGTTTGGATCTGCTTCATTCTCAAGAAGACACTCGAGCACATCCATTGCCCCCATATATGCAGCTCCATGCAAAGCACTTACACCAACTGCACTTACATGATTCACTTTTGCACCTCTCTGCAATAAATTGTTCACAGCTTCAGGATGGCCCAAGAGAGCAGTACCTAGAAGTGGGTGGTATGACATACCTCTGGGATGCAAGTCAGCTCCATGATCTAACAATATATCTGCTATGTCCATATTGTTGAGGTATGAAGCAAATAGAAGAGGTGTTGAGAGATCTTCAGACAAAGCTTCCACGTCAGCGTTGTTCTCCAGCAAAAGCCGAACAAGGTCGGGTTGATTGTGGATGCTTGCAACGTGTAGTGGGCTCCACTGATGATAACCTTTCAGATGGATATTTGCTTGATGTTGTATCAGAATCCTGGCTATATTTGTGTTTCCATACATCGATGCAAAGTGAAGAGGACCAAAACCATTAGCAAGCCGGTCAACATCAGCTTCCCTTCTGATGAGACTTTCAACAACTGAAGAAGAGCCAGTAATAGATGCTCCGTGCAAAGCTGTGAATCCACCTTCAGAAGATTTGTTCACTTCAATCTTTCTTTGTAGGAGCTCATCCACAATATCTCCATGGTTTAAAGCTGCTGCTAGATGAAGAAGTGTGTATCTATCGATATGTGAGCTTAAGCCTTCCTCAGACTCCTCAAGTAATTCCTTCACAGTTTCAAGTTGCCCCCACAAAGTTGCTTTTATAATGTCATTAGCTTTGGACCGTTTATGTAGGACAGCCTCTTTCAGCATTTCAGTACGACCATATTCATATGCTGCAGAGATAACGTCACTGAAAGCTACTCTGTCATCACTGAGAAACAGACGAAAGATGCACATATCATTTGCTTTTGCAGCAAAGGCTACCGGAGGTCCTAATTCAGCCTTCAAATTGGCATCAGCCCCTTCAGTTATCAAAAGTTCTACTATGTCCAAATGTCCTTCATAGCTTGCCACATGAAGAGGTGTAAAACCTTCATCTGATACATTTAGTTGTTTAACCAATGCACGGCCTTCGTTTCTAGGATTTGTTAATGACACAATCCTGCTTTTTATCTGTTTATTGATAGCTGCACCCTCTCCTCGGAGAAAGTTAAACACACCCAGGTGACCATTTTCTGCAGCCACAAATAAAGGCGTAACTCCCCCATTGCTTTCACGTTCAAGTGATATGTGTCTTGACAGCACCTCCACACTGTCGTAGTGACCAGCTGCAGCAGCCCAATGAAGTGCATTTGCTCCCATACGTGGATCTGTGATGTATACATCCACGTCGTGTTTGATCAGCACTTTACACACTTCAACGTTATTCTGATTGGCTGCTACAATTAGGCATGGCAACCCATCTTCAGTGATGTCATCAATATCCCGTGAAGTCAGTTTCAAACTGCTTATAATGTACTCCAATGCAGAATGATTGCCCCATCTGGTACAGCCCAAAACTGCATGATGGCACGTTTCCCTTGTAAGTGTGTACTTCTGCAACAATGCTTTCATCATCGCATCTGAACCATTGCTGGATGCCCAGTATAATAGCTTGTCGATAGCTAAGTCATCTGTCGAAGTGGGGAGGCGACAGATAACTTGATCCACAAAGTTTTGATTTCTTAGCAATCGATGTGAGCAGCAGCTTTCAAATGCACCAAGTTCTATTTCGTGTAAAAACCTTTCTGCTAGTTCGATGAAATGAATGTCTTCCGAAATTTTAATGCTGTATGTTTGGTCTCTCATATCGCTTGCTTTTTCAAACAGTTCAAGAGGTCCATATTGTATGATGAAAGAAATATCACATTTGGCTATGATATTTGACGATACTTCAAGAAAGGATGGATGAGAAAACTTCACAGAACCTTCTGTTGTAAACAAGAATGGCTCTTCTGCAGCAACTGAGAAAACTTCAGACATGGATGTTTCTCCAACATGTCTTATAACCTTCCGTCGTTTTTCTGCTGAATCTTCAGCAGGATCTTCCAAATCAAGTGTGCCTCTGAATGCCGTTAAGAGATAGAGGAGGCACTTCATGACAGAATTCCTCAAAAGATGTAGAATGCGTTTTTCAGCAAACGACAACGGATTGTCAAAGAATTGTCCGGCTTTTGTATTCTCCTTTCCAAGAGTGATGAACAAATGACACGAATGAGCAAATCCATGCGTATTTTGTTTCAAAACTATACTTTCCTTCTCCATGTCAGGAATACGCCTGTTACTTACTTCTAAGTATCTATCTAACATTTTCGCCTTTTCACTTGTCTGGGTTTTCTCTGTTAGATTCAGTTCCCTTGAACCTTCAAAATGGGATTTTAGCTTCCCCAAACGCTGACGTGCATCGTCGTAAACATCACATCTGCTGGTGAACAGCATTTTAATGTTTGTCTTCGTTTGGAGCCGACTGAACATATTTTCCAAATCTGGTGTTAATGTAAATGTGCACCTGAATTTCCCAAACACGTCATCGCAAAAGATGAAAGTTTCTTCAGAGTTTTGAACAGCACTCTTCATTTTCGCGGCACTTGTTGCATGTAGTACACTTATTCCCCTTGACCTGAAGTGCTCAAGAAGAAGAAGGCCCGTGACTGATTTTCCTTCACCAGCTGACCCAACAAGAAGCACATGCCGGTATGATCCAAACAAGTCAAGTATCTCATCCATAATTTGCGGCCTGATGAAGTCTGCAGCATATAGAAAGTGAGCTTAAATACATCCATATGTGTTATTTTGTATGTTGTGAATTAGTTTTAAATTTGATTTTACTTATTTGATACATAGTTAAAGAAATATTACCCTAGATACCATGAGGTAAAGTCTACTGTGCATTACAAATCCATTTGCTATTTCCTTCCTTGGACTTCAACTCGCCAAAGGTACATTTTTATCAAATTAGCAAACAAATTGAATCTAGTATAATTATGCCTGACTGACTGACTGACTGAGTATGGTTTTACGCCGATTTTAGCAATATTCCAGCAATATCTCGGCGGGGGACACCAGAAATGGGCTTCAGAAATTGTACCCATGTGGGGAATCGAACCCGGGCCGTCGGCGTGAAGAGCGAATGCTCTAACCACTAGGCTACCCCACTGCCCCAATTATGCATAAACGTATATATATATATATATATATATATATATATGATAAATATTAATCTTCTACAAAATGACATCTTCATTTCATGTTTGTATTTCGTATTTCTGAAGTACATTCATATGTATTGGTACATTGTCATGCGAAAATACTTCTCAGTGATTTGTTCAGTTAGTCTAACATAGATTATATTTCTGATTGTATTGTGATATGATTTTGTCCTTGAAATATACCCGAACAGAAGGTCCACGTAATTTTGATGGTTTCGTCATCATGCAAAGGTAGAATTGATTCTGTGACAGCGGCTCTCTCGGACTCGCAGTTGTTGTCCAAGACATGTGTTATGGCAGGACTTTCAGAAATCAATGCTGTTGAAACACTCTCACACAAACCTCTGAAACAAATATACACTATGAAGATACCAAACGGTAATTGTTGTTGACAAAGTAGTAGGCCATGACCAGGTTGTATAAAATATACAAAATGAAAACAACATGTCATAGACATAACTATTCTGTGCCAGCTCAGTTCATCAACTTTGTGTTCAACGTTAACACCTTACTTGGGAATTAACCATGTCCGCTTCTTCCTGATAATGGATACTATTTCATTGTGACTTTGATGTTCACGTATGCGTTAAGATGTTCCAAAAACACCATAGATATGCAAGACAATAGAAATTCAGTAAAAAGTACATATTAATCTAATATCTTATAGTAATTTGTTTTACGTTACCTTATAGTTTTGATCATGAATTCAACAAATCTACAAAGAAAGTTGCAGCAAACAAGCGACAACATTGCGAAGTAAATAGGTTGTACCATAATGCCCAAAATGTATAAAATTGATCGATTTTGAAGAATAAAATTGCTGCATATCTACTCAGAAGATAACATTTGTTAAGTTCATGTTGCAAAAGTTAAAAAGTAGCTATGGGTTTGGTAGATGTATAATTAGAAGTATATATTTGCAAAAGTATTGTGATACGTTAATTGGATGAGTATTTTAGTGACAAAATCCGACAAGAATATGGTGTCCGGAGAGGATGAGTCTTGTATTTGTTTTATCCATGAGCCAGCTTTGCGGTTGCTGCCAGATGTGTTACCTTGCCACCATCCGTAAAGAGTTTCTCTTCTAGTTGGACAGTAACTATTTGCAATTAATGATGTTAAAGGACATTTTCATTCACATGGATGGTGGGGTATTATCCTGCATTTTACCTGGTTAAAACATTCATGCATTCATTGTCACGCCGAAGGCCCGGGTTCGATTCCCTACATGGGTACAATGTGTGAAGCCCATTTCTGGTGTCCCCCGCCGTGATATTGCTGGAATATTGGTAAAAGCGGCCTAAAACCATATTCATTCATTCATTCATTCATTCATTCATTCATTCATTCATTCATCATTCATTCATTCATTCATCTAAAATACTGAAATGATCTGACCTGTACTTGGACTTGTCTTCCACTGATTTGACCATGAGATAGGTTGGTAGAAAGTTTTGAAGTCTTCTAGCAACTTCCAACATAAGAGTAGTTCCACCACATTTTGGAAGCGTCAACACAAACACATATTTGGAATTCATATTTTCTAACAACACTGTGCATTGTTCTTTTGTTAGGAAATTAATCCTTTCTGCGTCGGGAAACTGATCGCCTGGCTCTACTTTGGCAACTGAAGCCCAAAAAGAAGTAATGAGTTTATCATATTTGCCTTCTGACATGTAAAGGGAGTCAAACGTAACAAATCTGCTACATGAATGCGCAAGCGTCTTCAACTTGGATTGAAATGTATCCCATGAGTCAAGATGAGACTTGCACACAACACCAAACACTGCTGAAAAGTCATCGTCAGTGAACCTATTGAGGGAGGTGATCAGCCCTCTAGCAACACTGACGTTGTATTTCCTTGCTTCTGGGGTGTCGTTATCGACTACAGTCAGCACAAATGCTGGTTGAGAAGGGAGCATCAAGACAATGTCGCAGTGGATATCTGATGGCAACTCACTGTACGGTATATTTAATGGAAAACACAATGTCTTAGCGATAAAGATGAAACCATCTGTTTCTTGAAGAAGTCTTGGCTTGGCTGTGTCTATCAGGCCACTGTTTGGGGACAAAGAAAATGTTTCTTCTTGAAGGAAAGTTACAAGTTTCTCAGTGATCCTCTTTAGACTGGCGGTAAGGCTTTTAGGCACAATGCTAAGTTTACCTGCAAGTATAAATCATGAATATCAGTGGTAATTATTTTATAATAACATTTGAATGCATTTTACTGTGACTTTATATATATATAAATCATCTGCATTTAATACAGGAAATATTTATTTGTATGTGTTGGGGGACGTGACACATTCCGACACGTTAACGTCCGGGTTAGAATTGAAATTTAGCAACTCATGCTTGTCCTAAGAGGCGACTAACGGGATCGGGTAGTCAGACTTGATTGGCAGATGTCAGCGTATCCCAGTTGCGTAGATTGATGCTTATGCTGTCGATCACAGGACTGTCTGATCCAGAATTAATTATTTATAGACCGCCGCCATATATCTGGAATATTGCTGAATGGGGCGACATACAAACATGTCACATTTCAATAAGGACATACCGATTAATTACTTCCTGGGATTGTTTCAATCTTAAATTTGTCAGTGTAGTGGAACATTGATGTAAAAACCTTTCTTGGATGGATAGAAAAAAGAACATACCACGAGGACAGTAGAATTCTCGAATGTCTTTGATACTGTCACCAATCTGTTGTAGTGATGGTAGAAAGAAGTCTCTCGTTTGAATGCTGAACTGCTGCGGTTCCACACAGACGTTAGTCTGAAGAAATACAACTTTTAATTAGTTTCCATTGATATGTCCGTGTATGAAACACAATTATGACATTTGTAGTGTGAGGGTTGATAACAGGACCATGTTCCTGGCAATTGTACTCGTCACTGAGCTTCAAGGCACCTGATATTGCTTTCACCATCAAAATAAGTACAGATAGTACTATACTACCCATCAAAAGTTTAGACTCAGTTATGGCAATGTCAGTATCTTGGAGGAAAATAGCAATCGTGTTCAAAAATCAGCAACAAACACAACATCACTCATTTATGGTTTTAATCCGTATGAAATGAGGACGTGTACATTCCTCAAAACTTTTGTAAAGAACCGTAAACATGGGTACTGTGAAAAAGTGTGTTTCAAAAGTCAATAATGGGTATGTCCACCCCTGGCTCTGGCACAAGCATCGCACCGACGTCTCATGCCACGTACCAAGTATCCAAGCTGCCTCTGGGGGATGTTCTGCCACTCTTGTAACAAGGCATTTCGAAGCTGGTCAAGGTTAGCAGGGGGAGGAACTCTGGCGTAAACACGGCGTCCCAGCATGTCCCACACATGCTCTATGGGGTTGAGATCGGGTGATAACGCTGGCCATTCCATACGATTAACCCTGTTCTGCTGCAACCACGCTGTTACGATGCGAGCTCTGTGGGGCCTAGCGTTATCATCTTGCAGAACAGCCTGGCCTGGCATGGCCCGCAGGAAAGGAAGCACCACAGGAGCGAGAATCTCATCGCGATACCTCTGACCCGTCAAGTTCCCATCCACTACCACTAAATCGGTTCGTCCAGTCATTGAGATACCGCCCCAGACCATAACGGACCCACCTCCAAAATGATCGTGTTCAACAACGTTAGCGTCAACGTAACGTTCTCCTGACGTCTGTACACAGGTATTCGGCCGTCGTTGAAGTGCAGTTTGAACCTGGATTCGTCGGTGAACAACACACGTGACCATCTGCCTGCACCCCATCTCAAATGCCCATTAACCCAGTCCAATCGAGCCCGACGGTGACGTGGTGTAAGAGGGGGCCTAACGGCAGGACGTCTTGCACGCAGTCCAGCTCGACGTAACCTGCGCCTTATCGTGGATACAGAAACATGACGTCCAGTGGCGTGTCTGAACGTATCGTTGACTGAGGTGGCTGTGATGTGTCGGCTCCTGAGAACGATCAATCGGATGTAACGATCATCCTGTTGCGACGTCACTCGTGGCCTACCCGATCTTGGCCGATCCTGGACAGAATTCGTCTGTTGAAAGCGTGTCCAGAGGTTGGAAATGGCCTTCTGGGATACACCATGACGCCTGGCTACATAACGTTGTGATTTCCCATCTTGTAAGAGTGCCAAGGCTTGATGTCGTTTTGCATTGGACAAACTTCTCACTCGACCCATGCTGACGGAGAAGTGAAATTTGGCCCCTATCCTCACTGAATCAATTTCAAACCGTGTACAGGTGAAATGCACGAGGTTCATACTGCAACATGTTGTGATGCACGTGCTCACACCGTGCATGCTCATGGCTGCGTTTGGCTTGACAATTTCATGACATTTTCATCATTTTCACCAAAATTGTACCAGGTATGGATTTCAAAATCCTTAGGCATCAAGGCTACGAATATGCCGAACAGTATTTCGAGTTATGCCTTATTCCACACATGTGAAAAATTCATTAGTTTCGGGCTATTCAAGTAGTCAAAAGTTAATTGAAATAGGGTAATCTGTTAACAGGGGTGAGTCTAAACTTTTGATGGGTAGTATATTACTACTATTAGTATTACTAATAATATTACTACTACTATTATTATTATTGCTACTATTACTACTACTACTATTGCAACTACCACTACTACTACTACTACTACTACTACTACTATTACCACTACTACTATTATAACTACTGCTGTTACTATTACTACTACTACGATTACCACTACTACTATTACTACTACTACTATTACCACAACTACTATCCTTCTACTATTACCACTACTACTACTACTAATATTACCACTACTACTACTATTACTATTACCACTACTACTATTATAACTATTACTATTACCACTTCTACTATTTCTACTTCTATTACCACTACTACTACTACTACTATTACCACTACTAGTAGTACCACTACTACTATTACTACTACTATTACTACTACTACTACTAATATTACCACTTCTACTACTATAACTATTACCACTACTGCTAGTATAACTACTACTACTACTACTGCTATTACCACCACTACTACTACTACTTCTATTACCACTACTACTATTATAACTACTAGTATTATAACTACTACTATTATCACTTCTACTATTATCACTACTAATATTACCACCTCTACTATTACTACTACTACTATTACCACTACTACTACCACTACTACTACTACTACTACTATTACTACTACTACTACTACTACTATTATAACTACTGCTATTATTACTACTACCACTACTACTATTATAACAACTACTATTATAACTACTACTATTACTATTACAACTACTACTATTATAACTACTACTCTAACTACCACTACTACTATTACTACTACTACTATTACTACTACTACTACTACTACTACTATTACTACTACTACTATTTATAACTACTGCAATTACTACTACCACTACTACTATTAGCACTACTACTATTACCACTACTGCTACTACTACTACTATTACCACTACTACGTTTATAGCTACTACTACTGTTACTACTACTACTATTACCAATACTACTACTATAACTACTGCTATTACTATTACTACTTCTATTACCACTACTACTATAAATACTATTGCTGTTACTACTATTACTTCTACTGTTAATTCTACTTCTACTATCATAACTTTATAAGAGCTACTACAACTACTCTTAATTTCGCAAACATCTGATATGACTGAGTACATTGTTATGATACTATGACTTTCTGATATAGATATAGAAAGGAAAACAACTCACCTTAAGCTCAAATGGGGCTGCTACATAGTTTAGGGCGTCATACTTTCTTGTTCTGAAGAAGAGAAGTCGATTGTACAATTCCGGCTATATCATAAGCATGTTTTTATGAATCACTTACAAACTAGGGATGAAAAAAACATAGAACCTAGTCAAAAGTTCACCTGAAAAAATATCGGAAACATATGATAAAAGTCAATATGTGGAATTGCAACGGACCCTTTTGTATCACTGACGAGTCAAAGTTTGAAATGCCCTTCACTACAATAAAACTTGATTGGAATGTTTGCTTCAGCCTTAAATGTTCTTAGCCAGAGCCGTGTGACGCTCTTGAAATCGTGGTGAAAGGATCAGCATACTCTGTTGTAGCCATAAACGTGGTGAAAGATAAACGCACAAAGGATGCCATTTAGGAAGTGGTCAAATGTAACACGTGTTGTATTTGGGATTACACTTTCTTAGTACTGATAAAGCGTCGTCCAAAATATAGCATAGATTGCATTACTGCAGTTTGGAAAAATAAAGACAAGTTGGAAGTGGTTTAGCCTTCGTGGTTTGGTTCAAAACATGGATGCCACACTTCTTATGCGCTCGTTAAGATGCAGGATGAGTGAGTGAGTGATTTGATATTTAACGTCACATCAGCAATATTTCAGCCATATCGTGACGAGAACAAATTTGATTATAAAGAATATGTATATATTATAAAACCCGTCGTCAAAGGACAGTAAAACAACTAGACTACCACAATTCGAATTTAAAACTAGCATATGAAGCTAAAACTAACAGCACAATTTGGACAATACATGATATAAAAATAGGCTAAAGATCGCCAACAACTGAAGATGAGGGATGAGAATACAATAGTCCATACTTGACTTGGCCAAATTGCTCTTCTTCATCTTTTCGTTTTTCACCAATGTGTTTAAACTTTTTTGCCAGTAAAGAGTGCCATCTGAAAATAAAATAATCAAATTATAATTTAATTATATCGATATTAGCATGACCATTCATCACCTGAAAAAGTTATGATATTGTTCGTGGAAAGTTATGGCACTGTCTGTTTTGGTTGGTATGTCGCGGTCCTTTGAAAGGAAACACGCTCTATTCTCTAGTTACATTGGATGTTATGGCACCGTCTGATTTGGTTGGTATGTATCGGTCCTTCGAAAAGAAACACGCTCTATTCCCTAGTTACATTGGATGTCTGTTGTGATGACAATTTCGGATTATGGTGCTTGGTTTACTTGAAATGGGAAACGTTTATGTCGGAAAAGGAAGCTTATTTGTTGGGGCCCATTGTTCCGATGTCATTTACAAGCAGATTGTATGCCAGGAAACGCTATTGTCTCGAAAACCCTCACGAGGATGTCTTTGAATCAATATTTCAGTGTGGTCGTTACACAAAATAGATCCTATATATCAGGGACGAATATAAAACATTCATATTCACACAGTGAAGGGTGTTCATTACTGGAATCGAGTTACATGTTCTGTTTGCTTTTCTGATCAATAACCGTCTTGTTTGTTTGCAATCTTCCTGCTACATGTCTGGAGCAGGCCATCCCCTGCTCCAAGGCGTCAGCATCGATCTACGACAATGTAATACTGTGACATGTGTCAACCAAGTCAGGAGCCTGACCACCCAATCACGTCAGGTGCTCTTACGACAGTCATGGGTTGATGTATTCCAATTCAAACCCGGACTAAAGACATAATTTATTCGTAAGGCCCTGAATACAAAATACAGATCTGACCGAGAATAGATGATATTCGTCCACGATTTCTACGATATTCCACAAGCAGTAGCACTGACTTATTACCTGGACATATTCACGACAATAATAACGCTGATGCGAAATTCCTGTGAAATGTCCATATATCATTGGTGTATTTGTAAACGAAGTAATGCCTATCCAAAGTAGGGAAGACAATTACTGCAGTCTAACTAGTCTCGTTCCCGATGGTATTACATAACGTGTAATATAGGTCTTAAATAAGGTATTTATGGAGGAACCTGGCACAGGTAAAACACAGTATACGATTGTGACAGTGCAAATTAAAACCAACACATTGTTGCCAATTTGTTTTTATTAGAAGCTTAGAGCACTTACTATTTAATGCACAGACCATTCCACAACAGAGAAACACGAATCATGTGCAAATATTTGAACAAAGATGAGATATACCTAACAATAACTACTGAGGGGCATGATGGTTCTCGGCATGTAATAGACCGATCCATTCCCGGTATCCGTCGTTTGTGAATGATATTTAAAGAGGCAAGTTATAGGTATGTGATTTTTAATATATTTTAGTTGCCAGATTGCATTTCGCGAGTGAATATGAGTTACATGCCCGATGAAAAATCGTCTCGGCCAGCTGCTGAGAGTAGGAAGCATATTTTCTTTCGAATCAATTAATCTATCTGGCAATTCACCTCCGTGAAAGATATCAGCAGGGGAAGGGTAACTGAATTTTGTTGCTTGGATTTTTTTCCCAAAAAATTCCCATCATAAGATTATAAAAACCGTGAACACATCCACATGTTCATGTTGCAGATCGTTTCGGTATCTATAAAATAGATTGTCAATGTTGCACGTGGCGCCTTTACTTAGTTATCCGTTGGCGTTGTTCAAACTTAGTTAAATAATCTGAAAACATGGGTTTCTTTGTTTTAATGAATTAAATGAAAGGTAAATAAAAAGCAGAAAATATTTCCCGTTTACTACTTCGTGCACCTTATTGGTCTGTATATAATTAATGTAAACAGATCAGTCACAGCGCATAACTTATTTGATCTTATTTGGAAATCTGGAAAATGTGACAGTATGTTTCCATGGATGTACTCGGGACACACCCAGAAGCAAATATTCAGCAGCTGATCAGTAAAGTTTCCCTCTTCAAAATCTGTACACCATCCTAAAATGACACTGAATATAAGGAAATCCATTTTTTAAAACCATCCTTTCCATTTTATTTTTCTATACAATGTATGTAGTTTGTTGTGAAAACCTAATTTACATACAAACTTCAACAAAACTTGACTTCATGAACTGCCAGCGTTTATGTACAGGTATGTCACGGCACCAAAACACAAAGAAGATCCAAGATACAGTCTGCACCTCCACAGTGACCCATCTTCCAGAAATAAGAAACCTGTGATGCAAAATCTTTGAACAGGTGATCCACTAGCTGTTAGCCGAACAATTAACTAGCATTGAAATAGAATGCTACACAAAATACAAAAATATTGTTTTTACTTCAGAGATATTTAACTGCTAACTACTAGTGCGAATAAGGTGCAAAGAATATACCCTAAGTTCAAAGCTTTTTGTCAATACAAATACATATATTGACATTATTGCTTCTTAAACAATGACAATCTTTGTATTATTAGATCTGAGACTATATTCCTAGAGGACATTTCTAAATTTTGATCTATTTCCTTTACTGAGATACTTACTAGTGATATAAAAATTATAGTAAGGTTGATTCAAAATTTGGTAAAAGTCATCGCAAGAGTTTAGGAAAACACCTCCTACAACCAGTGTGCAATTTAATGAAGCTCATTCTCCAATATTTAATAACCATCAATAAACCTTGAACAATTTGTCCAAAACCAACATCTTAATAAACACTAGATTTGGCTCAGTCTTCAAATATTAGTAACCTCCTCAAAAACTGATGATTTATAAGAAACATTACATTAAATCACATGAATCTGATATGTCAATCAATTAAAGACTTATTTATTGTTGATTAGTTTAGTATTTATTTACTACCCTTCCACATTTGCCAAAAAGAGCAAGATTCGTAAAACATACCTTGCTATCATTTCCAGTGAATTAATCAAAATGACAGTAGCAATATTGCTCCTAAAATGTACCAATATATGTGAATAATTTTATGTTGTAACAAAACTTCAAATGTCTTCATAATTAAGATATACACTTTATTTCACTCCGCCCAATACTCCAGAAAGTCACTTTTCTTCTCACATAGTTTCCGTATTCGATCCACATGGAGGAACGTAATTCCATTCAAAGTCCCATCTATCTCTTTATAAAAATTCTGAAATATTTGAAGCATAGTTCTATAGGCACTCATATGAATTAATTTTGATATTTATATATTGCATGATAGGCAACAATATTACTCCTCGAATATTTTGCACTATTAACACGATACTGTGCAGTGCCTACTGCACTACTGCTTCAGATTGCGCATTTGATACTTAAAAAATTCCTAAAATGTGTGACAAATTTAGGAATATCTAAGATCTATGTGTATCCGCCACATTGTTCTTTAATGTAACAAGTTTTGCTATTTCGGTCGACCCTAGAACCGAAATCGGATCGCTGTCAGATTTGTTTACATTGTGTCACGGCTTTGGCGCCTGTCTCATTTCAGCTTTAGGGCGTACCAACTCAATGCCCAGTAGTGACTAAAAACGTTAAGTAAAAACAATTTTGTAGTTACAAGAATTGTCCGTGTTTATAACACTTGCAAAGTCTTAAACTGCTATTTGTTGTCATCAATTGGTAATGATTTTGCACATGTGCAATAGTGTGGAAATTCGTGCAAATTCTTATTTGCGGGCGTGACGTAGGTTTCGTGAACGATGGTGCAGACAATTATCTGATCGCAAGACCTATCGCGCTCCTTGATCCGCCTCATTTTTTTTTTGTCTTGACCGTAATGGTTTTGTTAAAAGTACACATAAAATCACAGCAATATGTAATAGATATAGCGTGTTTAAATGGCGTAATTCGAAGCACATCGCTTCGGAGGCATCGTTTGAGCCCGGAAATAAGTCTGACAAATCCACACAGCGCGCCCGGCCTTCTGATTGGCCAAAAGTGACGCATGCGCCAGTTTTTATTGACAGACTGGATCGGTCTATTGTCCACAATTAGCAGTACCATGAACCCACGTCCATCGTTGTGAATGTCACATTGAGCAAGCACCCTACGATGCATGTAATTTTCAAGTTTTATGTCATTCATAATTTTCCTCCACATGAAGCGGAGCGGTGATGGTTAAAGCGTCAAATCATCACACTGAAGTCGATTCCCCGCAGTGATACTACTGGAATATTGCTAAAAGCGGTGTATAATCATCCTGACTCACTCCACATAAAGTTGACAAGTCTTAATACATGTACAAATGAAACAGTGTTGCCAAAGCTGTGTGAAGCCAAACTCACTAGCTACAAATAGTGTAAATAACCAGTAGGATAATAACCCTAGCAAATCGAACAGCAAGTTTGTGTTAACAATGACTGTACATATCCGTGGCCTTTGCGTAATAGTGGTGAAATGCTGAATACTGACATTCATTACATCCATGACGGAAAATAGAACATCGTGTAAGAATGCACATTTAAACTAATTAGACAAGGATTGCCAAAGCATTGTTTGTTGTTTTACGCCGCATTCAGAAATAGCCAAGCCATATGGCGGCGGTCTGTAAATAATCGAGCCTGGACCAGACAATCCAGTGATCAACAGCATGAGCATCGATCTACGCAATTGGAATACGATGACATGTGTCAACCAAGTCAGCGAGCCTGACCACCCGATCCTGTTAGTCGCCTCTTACGACAAGCATGGCTTACTGAAGATCAATTGTATTCCGGATCTTCACATTCAAGAAAATATAACATAGGCATACAACTACATATTTGAGTTATAGACGAGGATTGCCAAGGCCAGATATTCAAATATACTGAATCCGGACATAAATTTGAACATCATATGATTTCTTAATTACTGTTACATGACATTTTGACATGGTAATACACGGTAAAACCTACTAAATCCAAGGACGAGACACATAAAACGAACATTTGATAACGGAAACAAAGCCGCGGTATTTTTGTTCGGAGGTACTTATAACAAGTAGCTGCTATTCTCAAGATGAATATTTAAAACATGTATGTACATCACGAAGATGTCTGTCTGTCAATCTGCATTGATCTCTATATGTATTCTGTTCTTAGTGACACCTGACAGTGTGTAAATCATCAGAACGAAGTTTAATTGGTCAATGCAGTCTTTTCGAACCACGTTTTTACATCAACTGGGGTACATTTGTTGTCGACGATTCGGCATGATAGAGGACCTTCTTTGTCATAAAATGCCATTCCATTGATTGGGTAAACCAGTATTTCGACAACGTAGTACTTCATACTGTGCTGAGCTCTTGTGGTACTTGCTTGCATCTTTTCGGGAGGGACCATAGTGCATCTCACCTTCATCATGTCCCATTTAGCAGTGTCACCTTTAAAATCACACATCTTGCTCTCGTCATGCGCTACCTCTTTTAGGCGGCGGCTGAACTCATTTTCATCCTCCAGAGGCACTCCTTGGATCAGCAGATCTTTTGATTTGTATTTACCTCTGCTTTTATCTTTTTCCCCTATTCCAAGCAGGAAGGATCCACCTCGCGAGTTTTTGGTAAAAGCACTGACATACTCCTTCAGTCGAAAGTCATCCCATATCGTTCTAGCTTTATTATAGTCCGATAATTCCTTCCAGGTAACTTTGAGCTTGTCTTCCATGAAGCCTTTAAGCTGTAAATCACGTTTCTCTTGCAACTGAGGAATGGTTTCAAAATCACCATTGAACCTGAAATCAAGTTCTTCACGAGGACTAGGACTGGAACCGTTTCCTTTTTTGACAACAAACCGTTTCACCGTGGATGGTAAAGGGTTTACAAGTCCCCAGTCTAGACATATTTTGGTGTTGAAATCCGCTGTTGAAAATTCTGTGCCTTTTGCGACATAAATACTGATGAAATCATGGAACTTAACGCATCCAGAGGCTTCGCTTAGCCTTTCTTTTGCATACACGCTTTCAAACATTCTCCCGTCTTCTATCATTCTGTACAGGGTTTCATCTGCAAACTCGTCGAAAGCACCAACATAATTTTCATTTGGGATTAAACCTACAATTTGAACAAGTAAGTAACCACCATTAGAATTTCTTAGAGCTGAGACATATTTTGTGAGTTCTGTTAGTTTCAAATTCCGTTTCTCCCGTTTCTCAATTTTCTCTTTGTTACTTAATTTCTTGTCGATGCCATACAGATAGTGAACATGAATTCCCATGAATTGGATGTTCGGGCTGGTAGCCATTGTACCTCTGAATGACTCAACAGCTTCATTGCATCTGTCAATGTGCCTAGAACAGACAGAAAAGCAGTGACCAGATCTCTCACAACAAATTTCACTCATTATATTCATGGGTACTTTCGACTTGAATTTCCTTTGATTCACTTGCTTACACCATTCCAGATGCCAGACACCATTTCTGTCGGCGCTTGTCACATCAATGGGTTTGCTGACAGTCAAATAACTATGACGGAGTGGGTGAGTTTAGTTGCACGCAGTTTTAACACTATTCCAGCAATATCATGGCGGAGGACACCAGAAATTGGTTTTACACATTGTAACCATGTGAGGAATCAAACCCGGGTCTTCGGTGCCTCAAGAGAACGCTTTAACCACTCGGCTGCCTACCGCTCTCGCGACGAAGGAAAAAATTCACTTGTACAAAACTGTGTTCATGAACATGCATATATGTTCTGCTTTGACTGTTGGATAGATTACGTCCATATCGAATTAACTCGCACAACAGTAATACTGTTTCATGATATAACACTGCGTCAATATTGGCATGATGATTCAGGTTTTACGTTTGTAAGTAGTGGGTACATTGAAAAAACCATTGCTGCATCAACCGAACGTTAATGTAATCATGATGAGTATGATGGTAACAGTTTATTGTTTGGAGATTCTAACGAGTTGATCAGCAAGTTACAAAAATTTCAGAACATTGCTGGCCGTATTGTAACAAGAAGCCAACCATTTTGTGACACATCACCCATTCTCCAATCTCTCCACTGGCTTCATATTCCTGAACGTATTAATTCAAAATACTGACACTCACTTATCAGGCAATTCTGAGCCTTATATGTCATCCGTATTGTATTCATAACGTCACCACTTTACCGTCAACACGTCCATATCAGCTCAAGTGTATAAACACTTCCTCGTACTTGTACATATGCCTCTGTGCGTAACATTTCCATGTTAGAGCCAACACCTAAACGTCGCTTCCACTTTGAATTTAGACGGCGTTCATCCATCTTATCCCTATTTATAGGCTGTTTGGGTCAAAATGATACCGATAAATCCTAATCAAACTCCAATTCGGTTTACGATCAAACATTCATTTCAACGCCGAGTGTAAAGAAAACGTCAGACCAACTCTGGAAACAAGTTTCATAACGTTTGTCCCCTAAACCCAAGTGTTACAGTCCACACCTCAACGCCACTTCTAATTTCGATAGAGACAGCCTTCATCCATCGTACACTCATCTGCCCGTTGATTGTCTGATGCTTATAAGTGATGACTGTTGCATCTTAACCATTAATTATTGCCTGAGGTTTCTATACCATAGTCTACAACATTTGCAAAAACACCGATCTCCATTTGAGGCCCTGGATCTTATGACAATCACTGAGATATCGTCAACCCATCCTAGCTCGAATACCCGTGAAGATCCGGATTAGAATTGGTCTTCAGCAACCCACGCTTGTCGCCAGACATTACTAACGGGATCGGGTGGTCAAGCTCGCTGACTTGTTCGACACACGTCATTGTAACCCAATTGCCTGGACCACTGCTGATCCTGTTGATCACTGGATTGTCTGGCCCAGACATGATTATTTAGATTGGATCATTGGTGGGTGCGGAGGTAGATAACAAACAATCAAACAAGACAAAACCCAACCCGAAACTACCCACGAATCAGTCATCTTGGAATGTTTCGTTGTACGTAAATCAACACATACTTACAGTTTACAAGCTGAATGGATGCCCTGTTCAGTCCTTTCAAGTTTCTCTCCACAATGTGTACACACGACCAAAGAATTCATTCCTCTGCAAGTAAGATTTGGATACCAATTACCATATGCATTGTAGATCCTCATGTGTCTTTAACGGACACAATTGCTTAAATACATAAGGATCATACTGATAATGCTCACATGTGATGCGGTGTCTTATTTCAGAAGATCGCTCGCTGTTAATCTTATTGAACATGGTTGCATTAAAGCGTGTTACCTGATAAACAAGTCCACATCGATACTATTGGTCGCACAAGAAGTTTTAATACGATAAGGAATAAAGTACATGCACACGCTCACATGTCCTCCATGTCAACATGTAAGCTTTTCAATTGATCCCCAGTTATCTAATGAAACTGTTGAGCAATGATGGCGTGTTACATACTCCTCCTAAATCTGAACACCTCAGCGTTGGTCAAATGTGCTTTGCTAAGTGTATAGTCTTGAATATTTGTTTCTCTGTAAAATGTTATCTTGAGGTCCCAGGAGAGACCAGCCCCTCAGTAGGAGATGTGTTAATTTCAAACTACGAGTAATATGGTACTAAAGTGTAATTTCAATCCGAGTTGTATTCGTCTCCAAGAAAAAACTGGTATGCCAATTACCACATACATTGCACATGAGTGTGATTCATTCCTCAAGTACGTACTGACAACATTTATAATCCCTATAATTTATACGTTAAATATATCACTCACTGTGAATTGCATTGGTGCACTTACATCATGTTAAAGGACATCGATAAGTTCAGCTACGCAATAGGTCTCAAGACAGCTTCATTACCCGCCACTTACATACACACACAGGCATATTGCTTACACTGACAACACGCGATTCGTTTGTTTGTTTGCTTGCTTGCTTTTGTTGTTATAGCGCGGCACTCAGCAATATTCCAGCAATACCCGGTTTGTAAATAATCGAGTCTTGACCAGACGATCCGGTGTAAAACAACATGAGCGTTGATGTACGACAATTTCTGGGTTATGATGACATGTGTCAACCAAGTCAGCGAGCTTGACAACCCGATCCCGTTAGTCGCTTCTTACGACAAGCATGGGTTGCTGAAGTCCAATTCTTACCTGGATCTTCATGACTGTTTGTTCTTTGTAAGACACAAAGAATCAAAGCTGTGTCTATAATTTAACTCGCTCATTTATTGGTTTAGTCAAACATTGCTGATATGGACGACTACAGACTCTTACCCATACGTCGATATCAATCGAGGTGTAATTTCAACTCCTGGGGTTTGCAATATAGAACAAACTTATGGACATTGGGTTTGACAAACACAACAAGGCATACAACCGCTGACGCATGAGAACAATCAATCAGCAACATAAACATTCTCCATTTCCTTCACAACGCGTCGAAACACCAAAATGAAACGATTATAACACAGATATATACCTTTCCAGGTCAAGTTCCTACACCCCTTCCACAGTCGACCCAGCACAAAACTGCACCTATCACATACGCACTGATACTTGATACACACAACATAACGAATATACAATACATCACATGCATACGTATACTTGATACACCCTTCACCAGGACACAGAAATGTTATGTCAATACTAAACCTCGTTACATTTGCCACACCCATAGTGGATATCACTTGTCGCATGCATACTTCAACCAGACAGTAGTGTAGGCCCACATCAGACAGCAAATTCGCTATATCTTATGCTCATCCATACTTGTTTTAGACAGTACACGTGACCTATCACAGACAGGGATTAGCCTGAAACATCACACACATGATCGATCACATGCAGGAACTACCACATGCCCACCCATACCTACAACTCACAATGTCAGACCAATAATCACATGCTAGTACATCAACTAATCACATGCTAGTAAATACACGCTATCATCTGACGTACTCCACACCAGCCCCACGCTCATCAGACCAATCACAGACTAACCAGTACATACACGCTATCATCTGACGTAATCCACACCAGCCCCCTCATCAGACCAATCAGATGCTAGTACATACACGCTATCATCACGCTCACGTACTCCACACCAGCCCCCATCATCAGACCAATCACATACTAGTACATACACGCTATCATCTGACGTACTCCACACCAGCCCCCCTCATCAGACCAATCCTCAGAAACCTTACCTCAGACCAGACACAGCAAACATGATTTTACGCAGAGATGCCTCGGTCTCCCCTTCCCAATGCTCAACCCATGGATATATACTTTTGTTTATAATTCTATCCTTCGAACAGGCAAGTCAAAATAAGCGATATTAATATTTTTTGAACTATTACTTTTATACATTAGAGCCATGTGCAAGTCTATTCCTTCCCATTCTCTCTCTCTGTCTGTCTGTCTCTCTCTCTCACTCTCTCCCTCTCTCTCTCTCACACACACACACACACGTAAACAAACATCACTGCAGACACCCCTTCCAGTTCGTTCTCTCTCTCTCTGTCTCTCTCTGTCTCTCTCTCTCTCATACACACACACACACACACACACACACACAAACAACACATGTGGCCCTGCCATATACTTACCTCAGATGACCAAACTATACAGCAGACACCACACTTGAGTTTACATATACATGCCTCGGTTGCCCAACCCCTCACAAGGAAGCACAAACGATGCAAGCCTTAGTATCCACCTTCCGGATCACAAACACGACTTTGTGCAAGCATACTCTGAATTGTTCAACACAATTCTGGTTGACAGTTTAGTGGCGCAATCCTTTGTTTCACTAATTGCATTGACACAATTCTCATTCTAAAGCACATATCTCCAACGAGACGAGATAACACCATGACCATGTTAGAAACCAATACACGCACACAAGCACATGTTATTCATACATCAAGACAGCAGATTCCATCAATGAGAGATCCCGTCTCATACCTGAACTGCGAAATCGTTTCAACATTCACATGCGATCCCAATTAAATGAAATATTTTGTATCATAAGGGGAATATTCCATGTCTCAATGTGTTCAATATCGATGTTGTGTTCATGCTAAAAACGTCCTTGTTCACTGCTTTTCATTTCCCTTTCCTTCGTTGTTTCATATTCCTTGTTAAATGGGTCGTGTTTGTTTTTAATCGTCGTTCACATTGGATGAGCTCTGGTTTTAAGTAATTAGCTTATTCAAGCGCTAATGAAACGTTTTTTTCCAAATCCATACACCGGATGAGTGAGTGAATGGGAGAGTATGGTATTACGTCACTTTTATCAATATTCCAGTAATATCACACCAGAAATCGGCTTCACACACTGAACCCATGTAGGGAATCGAACCCGGGTCTTCGTCATGACGAGCTAACGCTTTAACCAAACCCATACACACTGGATGCTGCCGCTAAGGAAGGATGCCTTCTATACATATACCAACTTTGATAGCAGTATAGTCCACATGTTTAGCTATTATTTATGCTTTTAAAGAATATTTCTTATGAGTATATTAAGGTTTGGTTTGTTACATTTATATGTAGGTTTTAATTTCCCGACGCTATTTTTCAAAACGGTATTGTGTGGATATTATTTCACTGGTTTTGACAATATTCCAGAAATACAAGAACGGACAACATCTGTGATGGGCTACAGATATTCAATCCCATTCGGGTACTTGAATGCGATAACACTTTATCACTCTATGATCCTTTCCACTAAGAGAAAAGCTGACCTGTATTCACACTTGTGGAGTTGGGAATGTATACAGTCCTGTCCTGCCCATCCTGTTGTGAAACACCGGACACACGTCAAACTGGTCTTCCTTCCACCGAACACTAAGTGTTATGTCAATGTACATGTACAAGAATAAAGATTTGTAGTCTCATCATATACATGTCTCTACATCTCTACAATCCAAGATGGCGGTCAAATGTGAATAACGAACAACGGATATAGCGAACTAAATTTCTTGGTCCCTTGGAGTTCGTTATATCCGTGTTCTACTGTATATTCTTTCGCCGTGATAATACATTACAGCTAATGCCTTATGTTAGGGTTATCTATACTAGGCAAGTACACATTGTTTAGTACGCCGATAAGCAAAGCATACCTTTATACTCTACCTTCCCAACTCATCAAATTACATATATGCAGATGTAGTAATTTCAGCTCAAGTTTAATCCTTTATTCCTTGATACGTCTCACTAAAAAGATACACCACCCCATACCTACTAGAAGATACGATTTATCACATACAAACGATATATCACACACATACATAGTTTACAAATCCCAAACACAGACAACAGGTAAGATCTTTCACCTACACACCTCACTTCACAAACCCCATACCAGACAACTACGAATTAACACATACATACCTGTTTCCCCAACCCCATACCAGACAACAACTACGAATTAACACATACATACCTCAGTTCCCTTATCAATACCAGACAACAACTACGAATTAACATATACATACCTCAGTTCCCTTACCCCATACCAGACAACAACTTCGAATTAACAAATACATACCTCAGTTTCCCCAACCCCATACCAGACAACAACTATGAATAAACACATACATACCTCAGTTCCCTTACCCCATACCAGTCAACAACTACGAATTAACACATACATACCTCAGTTCCCTTACCCCATACCAGTCAACAACTACGAATAAATACATACATACCTTGGTTCCCTTACCCCAAACCAGACAACAACTTCGAATTAACAAATACATACCTCAGTTTCCCCAACCCCATACCAGACAACAACTATGAAAAAATACATACATACCTCAGTTCCCTTACCCCATACCAGTCAACAACTACGAATTAACACATACATACCTCAGTTCCCTTACCCCATACGAGTCAACAACTACGAATAAATACATACATACCTTGGTTCCCTTACCCCATACCAGACAGCAGGTACGAGCTGTGACATAATACCATATTTGCCGTACACCACCCCAGACAGCAGGTTGACCTGTCACACATATATCTTATCTGTCACTCGTGATTACATGTACGTCAAATACATGTACAGTTATAGGATGATACTCAATGCATGGTGTACTCTATATATAGAACAGCTATGAATGGACAACGTGACTGGATGATTATCAGTGGTAAATGTTGAAAGTGGATGCATAGGCGGTGTCTAGGTGGTGTTGGCGTGTTAATTGATGACTGACAAAACTTGACTAACTCTGTCTTCATCTGAATTATTATCCGAGTTCAATCCTCTTACCAAGATCAACAATTCATACAATGAGAGGACTGACACACAGAATTATCGCGTTATATATCTAAAACCCAAGGTTAACCTTTGTCATTGTTAGACTTCTATCAGGCACCCATAGCCGTTATTGTCCTATCACTCGCGGGCGGATAACATCTACATTGGTGGTGGTGAATTGAAATGAGAGACTAATTGAAACCCGCGAGGTGTTAAAGTTTCTCGGTTTGTTCTTGACCGGGGCGAGTTTCCAGAATAGACTCAAACATCTAGCGATTTTGTTTCAAGACACATGCACGCTCTAGTCCATCACGACTCCATCTAGTGGTAGTAATTTCGTGCACTGAAATTCGCCTTGTGTCATCAGCAAGAGAAACGCTGTATATCGTGCATGCACCGTTTTTCTCATTATCCTATTGTGTCAAAGTGCTGACAATTAGCTTGATCTGTAGGTCAAGATGGTTCGCTTTGTATTACTGTCTATAGAACTGAGATGCACAAGACCCCTCCCTGTGAAGTTTCAGTAGAATTGATGATGAAAAGAATTTGTTAGTACCGCGACAGTTCGTTTAAGTATGCATACGTGCCACATCATCAATAGCTTTTAACATGTTTAAGGGTTTGCAAAATTCGTTTACATCTTAAAGCGCACCACTGTACGCAACGGATTTAGTTGGAATATTTCATGTAATGGGTGTTCGCGTTACATTTAATGCTACAAAAACAGAATACGAACTTAAAATTGGAAATAATAATAACGCTTCGGATTTTATTTTAGATTTTGAAACAGTTTCCAAATTAAAAGCGTTATTTATCGACTTTTTCCAAGAAGCTAGAAATTTTAAATCTAAGACATACAACGTAACCACGTGTTGTTTGTTGAGTCATATTATAAAAAAATATTCATTTCACTTTCGATCGACTGTTTCGATCACTTTCCATTCAAAAGACAGACACTAGCTCTGTTGTCATATTGGATATGGATGACATGAAAACTATTGTTGAATATCTGATTAAAGCCGATGCTATTGTGGAGTTTCACCGAATCAAAGAAGAATTTAAAGATAACTTACAGAAGGTAAGTATATTCATTATTTATATAGAGTAGATGTGTCAGTACTCTATCTCTTTTTTGTTTAATCATTTTGTGCACTTTACCTCATCAAAAGGACTATCATGTGCAGGTATCCTCAATGTTTCCACTCTTATTGAAATTTGTTATTATGTGAGTGCTGTATCAAGTGATAGGTCGTTAGATAGAATTATAGCAGTTAGGCTAAAACGAAAATTGTATTTGGAACGTGCATAGTCTTTATACATATGCGATAGTGAGTTCACTAGCAAACTGAGGGAGATTTTGTTGCTAACAATAAATTTTAAGCCGCGTGATTAGTGATCTGTTGAAAAGCTGCAGAATCTAACACGCAAGTACTTTGCATCAACTTCTATCATCACATATCTTATCACAATCACGTACACGTATTATCTATCATGTGATACAGATTCATTTATCTGTCTGATAAGTGGTTTATAATTATGTTCATGCGATTGTCTTGAACAAAGGTGATATTCACAAATTTATACATCTTGATAGGTGTAATAAACCGCTCAGATAATGATCTTGTGTACCGTATACTAGGCGAGTATGAACAACTATTAAGAATTTCTACTGAGAACGAGAAAATTCACAAAAGTGTTCTTGCTCTCACACTTTTTATATCACCCACATCGCGATACTGTAGGATAAATTTCATATTTATTGCTATATACTATTATTGCTAAGATGCGGGAAAATACCGCTGTGAAGTTAGGGTTAATATATTGCAACAGGTCACCGCCGCATTTAAATAAAATCATGCGTATTACTTTAAGGTGTTAAGATTTAAAGTTCCTTTGACAATATCTCATCAATATCGTACCTAAACACATTGATTAACTAATGTAACTTAAAATTTATTCTGCACAAGTTTTAAAATATATGTACGTTTAAAATGAGTACTACTAGCATCATAATGTCTTATTAAGATGGACGGCATCGGTGTAGTTATTCTGTGAATTAATCTAAAACGATATATGAATGGTGCTTGCGAGACGTTTCACCGAGGAAACACGTGATCCCCCAACTCACACAGCCATTGTTCGCGACGTGCGCGCACGCACACACACACACACACACACACACACACACACACACACACACACACACACATGCCCCTCATCAGACTTACCCACTCACGACGGGGTACACACCAGCAATGAATAGTCTTGATATAATTTATCATTCGGATGGTGAGTGGAATTCGGAAAATGTCCTAAAAAACATCACGATTTGAAACTATTATCTGAAATAAATTTTCTGCCGAAATCGTTTAGGAAAATTTAGGAAAATATTTGAAACGGGCAAGAGTAAGTGAG